TCCCGTTTATTATAACTATCTACGTTGATACTAATATACTATCATATAGACATAATAATAACGTATATAGAATATTTAGCATGCGTTTTCCCCATAAATATTAGAAAGTGGGGCCATGAAACTCACCTTAGTAGCGTGATTTTATGTAATCTAAGAAGAAATGGTCAACGGTACGAGGTCGTTGGGGCTCGGGAAGCGAAACGGCTTCAGCAAGCGAGAGAGAGAGAGAGAATAAATGGTGTAAGGAGAGAGGAGCCTGAACTTTCTATTTATAGGCTGATTTTTGGCCTCTCACAACGTGAGAATGATATATTCACGTCGTGAGCTATGGCAAGAGTCATCCCGTAGCTTTAACGCGTGCTTTCTAGCCTCGAATAGTGTCCTGCAACATCCTCACGTCGTGAGAAAACCTTGCTCACGTCGTGAGCTTTTGGGTTATCATTCTGTAGACTTCTAGCTTCGAAATTTGGTGTTTTGACTCCTCACGTCGTGAATTTTGGTGCTCACGTCGTGAGTCCAGTCAGATCAGGGTTTCTGACACGTGTCGTGCTCTCAGACAGCTGTAACTTCGGAAGGTCGTAACTTTTGCATACGAACTCCGTTTTTGACGTTCTTTATATCCACGCATAGGTATTTACGAGTACCACAACTATCTTTTAGACTCCAATATCTAACTCTAAGTCTATTTTAAATTCCTCTTGTTATAGATATTTATAGTGTTCGGTTTATCATAACTTCTTCATGCAAAGTCAAATTTAGACGTTCTCTATATTTTAGGAATCGTATGGACGTATACTTTGAGTTGTATCATAAAATATGTATGAAAATTCATATTTTAACATGAATTACATAGTAAGTTCATAACATTACTATTTTAACAAAAATCACATTACATGATTGGCATAATCACATGTGATTGTTATTAACTTATTTTGACTGGTGTTACAGCATGGGTGGAAGTGCAGGAAAGGGGAAGCTACTACTGGCCAAACCAATGGAGTCATGATCAACCTCAACATGATCAATGGTAGGAAAACAACCAAGCTTGGAGCAACAACCAATGCCAAAACCCATACCAAGCTTGGGGACTATTGGATTAGTGTCTAAGTCCATAACTATTTTGGTATGTACTTGACTCGATTGTTAGCATGGTCCTTTTGGGTTGCCTTCACACTGGTGACTAGATAGGATGATTGTTGAGGAGAGAGGCTGGTTTATTATTAAGAATAATAAATTAGGGTATAAATATGATTTGTTAATATATTATATGAATAATATATTAATTTGGAATCATATTATTAATTAGTATTTAATAAAAAATTAATTATGAATTAATTCCGGGATTAAATGAATTAATTAAAAGTATAGGGGCTATTTTGTAATTATTTGATAGTTGAGACTTTGGGCTATTGGATCACCTTTATTAAGGCTTGAACAAAAATCCTAGAAGGATCTAGGAGTTTTCATCCAAGGGCTTAAGGAAAGGAGTCCATGGACTTGCTTAGGCCCTAAGCTAAGGGATTAGGGTTTCCACCTTGAAACCCTAGCTAGCCTCAAGTATAAATAGCACCCTAAGGCACTAGAATTTGACCACTCCTTGGAGAAACCCTACTAGGGTCGAATTTTAGAGCCTCTTGCCTCCCTTCCTCTCTCTCATATTCATCCTTTCACCCAAAGTGTGTTTGTGAGCCATTAGAGGTACTACACTTGTGGTACTTGCTTTCAAGAGCTAAGGAAATTCTAGGAACTAGTTGTTATTGCTATATAACAAAAAAGGTATGTATTATATTTTCCTTTATGAATTTCGAAAAACATAGGAGTATCACAGGTTTCTTTTTGTGTTCATAAAGTTGTATGTCTAATAGTGAAAACATAGATCCAATTAGGATTGCATGCACACATAGGATTGTATGTATAAAACCTATCAAAATGACCAATACCAACCAATTCCACAGTTCCTACAACCATATTCTGCACCTCCCCAACAAGCTGAAACTTCGAGCATGTCCTTAGAAGACATTGTGAAAAGCATTGCCACTACTACCGAAATCTTTCAGGAAACAACCAAAGCTAGCCTCAAAAGATTAGAGCAACAAATTGCACAACTTACTCAATTTGTGAGTGTATTGGAAACTCAAGGCAAATTACCGTCATAGACAGAAGAGGATCCAAGGCATACCGTTTCTACAATCACCTTGAACGATGATAAATTTTTTGATGATCCAAGATTGCAGTTTGAAGATAGGGAAGAGGAGGAGGAAGTAGAAGTGGAAAAGGTTATCGAGGAAGAAGTGGAAATTGAGAAGGATGACATGGAAGTTGAAGACGATGTGTTGGAGATTAACAAAAGAGAGTCTGAGCCACCCACTACCAATGAGAAAATCCTTTAATTGGTAGACCAAACACTAGAGTCGAAAACGATAAATTTATCGAACCCTTCAAAGGATATATATCCCAAGTAGGAAGACACCCATTCAGCCATCAACTCAACCACCCTATCAAAGAAAGAAGAGTTGATTACCTTATTAGACAAGTACATGAAAAGGGTCAGTTGGATGATTGTTATCATCAAGGGTCTAAGTCCAGTCTGGTTCCCAAGCAAAAAGAAAGTTAGGTACAAGATAAGTGTCCAATTTGAGGAAGTAATAAGAAGTTCACTGAGTTGGAAAGCCCCAATATTCAAATAATAACATATTTTAAGGGCCAAGTCGAGCCAAAGACTTGAAACAAGGGCGGATAACCGAGTGGCAACTCGGGGAGTATTTTTCTTCCAATTATTCTTTTATTTACTTTATTGTGTTGCAATGTTTTTGAGTCTATTTTGAGTTTCATGTAAAAATATATATCTAAAAGATTGAGAGAGAGTCATGTTAAAAAAATGTTTTTGTGAGATTAAAAGTAATAAATTTAAAAAAAAAACATGATTTTTATGGCTAACAGAAAAGAAAATCATGGGCATGTGAAATTAGCATGGGCAAGACTAAAAACGCATGGCCTGATTTTAGACCATGCATGGCTATCGCAAGTTTCAAAGGAAAAAATAAACTAGCACGGGCTATCTCTTAAAAAGCATGGCCTAACATTATACCATGCTAAAAATGCACGGGGCAAGGACAAAAGCTCATGGGCTGAAATCACCCATGCTTTTTGATCGCAACTTTTCAAACCAAAAAAAAAACAGAGCACGGCCTTAAAAAAAAATTGCATGGGCACATCTCAAAACTCACGTCCCATGCTAAAAAAAGAATGGGCTATCATAAAAAAGCACGACCTGGCTTGGACCATGTGTTTTGTGTCATTCTTCCTCCTCACAACTCATAACCGTGCACTCTCTCCTCCTAAACACTTATAAACTTTTGACTTTCATCAATCAATCCAACATTAAAGCTCAAAGGTTTGTTGTTTTAAGTTCCTAACTCCATCTTCTTCTTCATCAATGTAGAATTCCCTCCATGAAAGTGTACAAAATCGAATCTTGCATAAAACCCTAGTTTTTTTTTCTTTGTAAATTTTGACTTGATTCTTGCATTAGGTTTCAAAATTCTTTTGTAGGGTTTTAAGAGCAAGCTTGGGGGTGTTTTGTAAAGAAGAGGGGAAGCTTTTACATCCGTTTGTGTATTCCACCATTGAAGAGCTCAACTTTTCTTGAGGTTGAAGATGACGTGAAATAGTCAAGTACACATCACAAATTCAAGCATTTGAATGGTACATTCCTTCCATATCTCAAGTTTAATGCATGAATCCTAAGATTGTTTGACTAGAACTGTTGAGAATCCATTTATATGATCTAAATAGTTATACATTCGTGGTCAGTAGGTTGCCCTACCCTCTCCGAGCATCGAGGACGATGCTAAATCTTAAGCTTGGGGAGGGGTCTTTGTAAATTAGGTTCTAGTTTCCACATGCATTTTATCAAAAAAATATTGAATAAGTTGAAGTGGTAAATTAGTCGTGGATTGAGATGAGAACTTGTTCATTTTTCATTAAAAATCTTGAAGCAATAAAATCACACGAACATGTCTCCCGAAGCTACTTGTGCAAAACAAAAAAATGATAAGGTCATCAACACCGAAGCATAACAACAAATATAGTTTAGCCCGTGGAACACACGACCGGTCTTATGAGTAGTTAGTGCTCATTCATATCCGAACTCCAAATTCAAAAGAGCCATAAAACGAATATTAAATTTCAGTGACTCGAATTCTCCAGCGCTCTAAAAAGCCTTTTCTACCTATTCCCTTCTAAATACCCTACTTGGAGACATTGTTTCCAACTATACTTACGGGTCTTTACGTGTTTACATTAGTCCCCCGAAAATGTCTTAGAAGTCTTTCACGGTAATAGACTGTGAGATGTCCCAACAATAGAAAGAGTCAAGGACGAAGATATACACCCTGTTCCCGAGTTTCATTTAAAGGAAAGAAAAGAAGAGAAGATAAATGTGGAGAGAAAAGAAAAGAATGGAAATGAAAGGAAAGTGTATTTTGTTGTTCCCGAGTTCGAGAGAAAGGAAAGGAAAATTATTGTTTTTTGTGTTCCCGAGTTGGAAGGAAAAGAAATCAAAACTAAAAATGGACAATTATACCCTTATCACATTTTTTCCATAATTTCAAATATATACCATACGATTCTCTTGAAAACAAAATTATGCCCAAACTATTTTTTTTTTGCCAACTTTTGCCTACATCACGACTTCTTTAATTATTTTTTTCACATGATTATTTATACAAAAATCATTAATGCATAATTCATTATTAATCACAATTCTAGTATGTTCTTCATTTGCATAACGTTTTCAAACAAAACCAATATGAAGGGAAAATATACCCAAACCAAAAATAACATAAATGTATGAATAATCAAAAAAAAATTATAAGAAACCAATTTAAAGTCAATACAAGAATAATCAAACAAATTTCAATGTATGAACTCAAACCAAAAACCAAAAAGCATGAACTCAAACTGATAAAAAAAATCAAAAAACTATCATCCTAAGTAAGTCATTTACTTGCCCCCATCATTTTTTTCAACAAACTTTTTCGTATTTTAAATGGAACTCTAAATAATGTCCCCGCATCAGATTGATTTCTCGACAAAAACGTGAGATCTTCTGATAATTCATCGGGTTCCAAATCCATTGGATCTAACTCTTTATAAATTTCATCACCAGTATAAACCCGATGATGAGAGTTTTCGAATATTTTGTTACCCTCCCTCATAGCAGAAGCCACATCTTTAACTGCACTCATAATAACCTTTTCAAACGATTCAGGTTCAGCTTCAAGTTCATCTTCATCTTCAATTTCATGTTTCCTTTTTTTACTTTTGTACTTCTTAGAACTTGAATTTTGCACCGGTGAAAAGCATGTAGGAGATAACACTTGAATATCATCAAGACCTTCATCATCATCATCTTCATTATTTTTTTGTTGTTTCTCAAGTGTTATGTCATTTCTTGCTAGTAACTTATCCACTTCTTCGAGTGTTTCTACTTTTATATCCCTAGTTCTGTTCAATCGGGCATTTTTCTCTTTCGGGGTTTCAGCATGCACCCCCGAAGCCCTATCCTTTGCAACCAAAGCTATCATTTCATTGTAGTTTGGTATTTTTTTGGACTTCAATGAAATTGCATCTGGCTTTGACTGTAACACACAATCCCAAATACAATTATTGTTAAGAAAAATAACATAAATGTATAAAAACTAAGTAACATGCAATAAAAGAAACTTACATTAATTAGGTTGGCCCACACTTCCTCGTCCGCTTCAATTAGTTGTGTTTCAGAATTCCTACCGAACCCACTCAATGAAGTTCCGCGAAACATGTCATACCATTGCGAGAAACCTAATTTTAAAGTTTTCAAACGATTCTTTAAATGATTTTTTGTTAAACTCTTCCCAAACTCTTGATTAAGCTCCTCCACCATGTTGTTGTACGCTTGTGGGATGAAGCTCCCACTAATCCTTAATCATTTCTCATCTTGTGTCATCATAGATTGAATAAAACAATAATCCATCGAATCTGTCCACTTTATTTGTTCTTTCTTAGTAACTTGTTCTTCCTTCATCATTTTGACCTACATAACATCATAAATAATCAAACCATGCATTGATAACATAAAAAATACATACTTAGAGGATGTACAAATAATGAGTAAATAACATCTCCAAAAGATAAATAACACAAATAAAGTCAAAACACTAACGATTCATACAAAATCAAGTCAAACACAAAAGATCCATACAAAATCAAATTGAAATGCTATAATAAAAACTAGTTGCTACATTGACATATCTATCTCATTGTTTCGATTTGGCAAGTAATTAGTCCACATTTGATTTGCAATTAAGTTCCTTATTCGCTCTGCCACAACATTACTCTCACTTGTCTCTTTTATATTATGGCGCATTTCCTCTCTTGGTTCATTTAACATCTCATGTAGGACCTCATCTTCAAGATTTTTGTCTCGATCTTCTTCTAACAAAAATTTATGTAAAATATAACATGCCAAGAAAATGTCTAACTCTGTTTCACAAGAATAAAAAGGTTCTTGTGTACTTCTAATGATAGGAAACCTTCTCTTTAGAACACCAAATGTCCGCTCTATAGCGTTGCGTAATGAAGCATGCCGGAGATTAAACAACTCTTTTGCATTCTCAGGGGCCCGAGCAGAATACTCCTTCAAATGATATCTGACACCACGATATGGTGCCATTAGTGTAGTTGTATGAGGCAAACCAGCATCTACCAAATAGTATCGGCCTACAAATAAGTTATAATTAGTTATGTATTAAAATAAGATTACACATAAGACTAATTTTGGTATTAAAAAATTACCATTTGGAATTACTAGTTTATCTTCTCTAGTGAGTGCATTCTTTAGTATCCTTAAGTCTGATGTTGTACCCTCCCAGCCACTTAAAATGTACATAAACTTTAAATCAAACGTACAAGCAGCTAAGACATTTATCGTAGGGTATCCCTTGCGACCACGATATCTAGGGGCATCTTTGGTAGGTACTTTGACACGAACATGTGTCCCGTCAATTGCACCTATACAATTCTTGAAGTAAGGATAAAATCATTTTTTTTCCTGAATTTCTTTTTGTACAACGTCACCTTTTGGTTGTTGAGTACAATGACTTTCCAGTGATATAATTGCTCGGAGAACTCTATGGAAGCACCTACTTGTAGTGGATTTAGAGCAACGGTATAGCCAAGACACAAATCGATTTCTAAAATCATTGTCGACAATGTGCAAAAATCTTGCAACATGCTCTTCAATGGACATGCGTTGAGTAGCTCGAAGACCACCAACTTGTTGTAAGACAGTGCACAATTTCTGAAAAGCCTGCTCACTCATACGGATAAGTTCACGGCATTGTCCCCCATTTGAAAGGTCGTGTAGCAACTGTTCACGTATACGTCGTCGCTTTAAAATAAGCTTTCTAGAAGGTAATTTGGGACAGTTTGTGTTGGCAAGGGCACGATGTGTCAAAATGGCCATCAACAAGCAAATCAGATGAATTACTTGTCTTTGCCTGACTCTGAGAAATTGAGCAGGTGTTTGTAGCTCACTATACATCGAAAAATGTTACCTATTGTATGTAAGTGTTATATAAATTAATCTAATTGTCTTATTTTATTATATATTAATCTAAATTGTTTTATTTTATTATATACTATTATAATAATAAATTACCTTTATAGTTGTTGAATGATTTTGAATCAATACATATTAAAATCAATTTAATATGTTTTACTTTTATATAATGTAGGTAAACCAGCATTAATAAAAACACAAATCATGCAAATTGTTCATTTACAACCAAGGGTAAAATAGACCAAGAAAAAAAGATACAACCAAGGGCAAAAAAATCCAACAACTTATGCAAATTGTTGTAATTACATAAAAAAGGAGGTCAAATAAGCAAAATTATACTAAACAATTTCATCCAAAACAAATCAACACTCACTATCAAAAAAACATGAATTTATGAATTCGGCCTTTTTCTATAACAGGTTGATTGTTCAAATTTATGATTGGTGTTAGTGTTGCTTTGGAACAAAAGACAACATAGCTTTAGTTGTTTATCTATTCCAAACAAAACATGCAGTTTCATGAAGTTTAATATTAAGATATGTATTTTAAATCTTCAAGATAACTTTGAACAGGTTCATCAAAGAAGGCAGGGAATGATTTCTGGAGGACTAACCATTAAAGAGTTAAATGAGTTGCTTGATCAGTTAGAATCAAGTGAAAATAGGTATGCCCATGTCATCTATTTACCAAAATACCCCGATCTAATAATTATTTATCTGTTAACACAGAATAGAGAAGATTTCCATTCTCTTTGATCTGAACGTATGTAATTGTTTCCCATATCTTGAAGCAGTAAAAAAATGAAGCAGGAAAATTGTTTAAAGCAGAAAAAAAAAAAAAAAAAAACAGGAACACAGTGTACAATGGAAGCAATGAAGTAGAAAAAATGGAGAAAATTGGAGTGAAGAAGATGAAACATTATAGCAGCAGATTGCAAGAGTCGCTCGTGGTATGCAGATGTGGGAAGAGACGTCTCTTGTGTGTTGTATGTGTGAAGAAGTCGCTATATAGGGGGTATATTGGGAATACGTTGAAATGTATCTCCCCACGGATTCTCTTCTCTCCGAATCACTCCAATTTGGGAGGAACATTAGGAGAGAAGTTAATCCTCCCAAATCCTTTCCTTTCTTTCTGAATCATTCCAACCAATTAACTCGGGAACATGATCGACACATACTTTCTCTCTAATTCCCTCCCTTTCTCTCCAAATCGCTCCTTAAATTCCTCTCGGGAACAGGGTCATAAGGAAATAAGCCTAGCAAATAAAAAAATAATAAATAATAAATAATAAATAATAAAATAAATAAAAATAAAAATATTATTAAGTTAATCTGTGACCTTTGGGACTCGAATCAGTAAACCCCAAGGGGTGTTCTACACCTAATTGCCTAAAGTTGTATTGTTTAGGACTGATTGGGTTGAAAGTTCGCTACACGGGTTCCATAAAAAGTCACAAACTTAACAATAACATATATATATATATATATATATATATATATATATATATATATATATATATATATATATATATATATGTTTAGATATTCAAATAAAGCTAATCTGTGGCCTTTGAGGTTCGGGCAAGTAAACCCTAGGGATCTCTTTAAATTTAGCACACCAAGGTCATTTGTTCTGGATGTGTTGGTTGGAAGCCCGCTACATGGATTTCAAAGAAAGTCATGAGCTTTATTTGTAGAAAAATATAATTAGATAGTTTGTATATATTTATGTTTATAGTTTAATTGAATAATATGTTTAGGAAAAATGCTTGACTTCCAAAAGATTCCTTTGGACTTGGACTTGAACTTATAACATTGGGACTGACTATAAACTACTTTGATTGGTGTAAATGGTTTGAAACATGTAACCAATTTGGGTAAATATTACGGAATTTTTAGAAAATATTTTTTTAGAAAAAGAGTGTTGTTAGTCAACAAATAACTGGAGTCGGTCATTGTCATGTTTTGTAAAATGAAAATGATTGACCATATTTTGCATCACATGTTTTCACGAGAGAGGACCATAATTTGTTTCATGTACTAACCCTATACCTATAAAAGTGAACAAGTGTTGTAACTTTTGATTTTGTTGAGTTGTGTTAGGGAGTGGCTAAAAATCTTGTTTTAAATGTTATATATCTTTGTGGGGTTAATGCCAAGTTATCTCAAGGCACGACAGGTACATCTTCGACTGTATGACATAATGAAGTTAACTAGATTGAATCTGTTCGTTTGGTTTTGTTTATTGCATTAATGTTTGAAAAAAAAATCTTTTTATACATATTTTATTTTCATTAGTGTTTCTTTTATTTCATGCATTCATTCTTAATTCCATTTAGACCTTTTCATTCCTTCCATTCTTTTCATCTTAGTTTCTTTTTAGTCGCCTATCGTCTTCTCTAAGGTGATTCTTAATTTTGTTCTTTCTTGAGGACAAGAAAGGTCTAAGCTTGGGGAGGTTTGATAGGTGAATTTTATGCACCTATTTTGCATGTTTATTTCCGTCCTTTCATAGCATTCTACTTCATAATTCTTGAATTTAGTTAATTATTAGGGCAATTGCATATTTCTTTAAGAATGTATGGTACTTCACTATTTTTGATTTATTTTGCAGGCATTATGGAGCATGGAGCTTGGATGCATGGAGCATGGAGCTTTGGAGCATGAAGAGAAGATGAACCGGTCATGCAATGGAAGATAACAAGAAGACGGAACCTGAGTCATTGTGCATTATCATTATAACAAAGGACTACATTTGAAGCATGGTTCATCTCACACCGACACAGGCCGTGTTTATCTTTTCTCATCTTATATTTAGAGCAACATGACTCATGGTGAAGCTAGACTGAAGATGGAGCCAATAGTGGAGACTTATTGGACTTTTAGTAAAAAGCATGGGTCATGCTAAAAACACATGGTCAAGACAAATGACCATGCCAAAAACACATGGGAAAAAGGCATGGTCATGCTAAAAACGCATGGCCTTATGGAAAGCACGTGGACATTAATAAAACAAGTAAGATGTCGCCATTTCATAGAGAACGGTTTTTGGAGCAGTTTAGGGAAATCTTGGGCGATTCTAGGAAATTTTTTGGAGCTTTTGAGAAGACTTAATCATTACAAACACTTTTGATTTCATTTTTGTAAGGATTAAACATTCCAATCCATCTTTATACTTGTTTGAATTGTTCTTAGCCATGTATGGCTAAGAAACCCTAGTTTCTAGTTCTTTTTCAAAACATGTTGATTGCTTGACTTGAAACATGTGATTGATGTTTGATTTGTGATTTTATTCTAGTGATTATGTTTTTGTTTAAACTAGAATCCTTAAATTTGATTTGTGTTTGATTGGCCACTTTCATGAATTGAATTTTTGTGTAGTTAATTAACTTTTAGGGCACCTAATCATTTTACAAAGTTAATGACTGGTAACAAGCAATAGGTTTTCTTATTGTAGAACATTTATCATATGTTTTCACACTTCCGAGCATATGAGAAGAAATGGACATTGTTGGGAAGCTTGTACAAAACTTAATGTAGTTTTTCAATACAATCTAAGAGCGTGTTTAGGTTGAATTAGTAAAGCTAGGTCTAGTCAAAGAGCGTGTTTTGGATAGATAATTTGGCAAGCGAGATGTATTAGAGCATGTTAATATCTTTCAGTACCAACTTAGAATAACAATCACAAATTACATCAAGTCATAATCAGGTTAAATGACAACATTGAGAACTTGAACTGGAAGCACTTTTACAACTTGTTTACAAATCTATTTCATTTTCTGCATGTTTCAAAGTTTATTTTTATTTTCATTATTTGACTTTTGCAAACAAATCACCCTTTGTGACCAAAGTACCTTGCGCAAAAAGGTATAGACTTTTATCCTGTGTCTCTGTGGTTCGACCCTGCTTGCCTTGTACTACTTTTTAGTGCATTAAAGCAGTGTATTTGGAGTCAGTCGTACCCCTATCATTTGTTGGATTTGACACTCCTAACAATCGTGTCCCCGACAATGGCGCCAATTTGTTAGGCGTATAAAACCCAACAAATAAAGGGGTACAAAATGACTACAAAACACTTTACTTTGCACTAAAAATGTAATACAAGGTAAGAAGGGTCGATCCACAGAGACACGGGACAAGTGCTTATACCTTTTTGCGTAAGGTACAAAATGGGGGAAATTTATAAGCAATGATTTAAACAATAGAATAAAGCAATACATAAATGATTGATTAAATGAAGTAGATGCACGGTTTGTAAGGACTCCAACTCCATGCAAGACAAATTAGCAATGTGATTCCAAGGATGAAATGATATTTGTTCAATTCTATCTAAATTGGTACTTGGAAATGCTAACAAGCTATAACACCTCTCATTCACCACATTGATTAACCAAAATAAGCTCTTTTATTATTCCTAACCTTACCAATCTAGTCTAAACAAGCTCTTAGAATTAGGTTGAAAGATTGCATTAAAATTTATGTGAATGCTCCCAACAACACTCAATACTCCTCATAAGCTTGGGAGCATAAGAATGTGTGAATAAGATTTACACTAAATTCATTCAATAGAAATCAGTTTAGTGCTTGTTACATAGTCGAATTTACAAAACAATTACGAATTTTGCAATTAGATAACTTGAATGATCTAACCCTAATTCAAATGGCCAATAAGAATCACAATTAGAATCAAACATTAGATTGAAACAAAATCAAATTCACAAAATAGAAAACTGAAAGAAAACATCAAGTCATATGATTGAAATCACAACTAGAAGTCAAGACATAAAGTTGGAGAATCTAGAGTTCTAGCCACTCATAACTAGAACAAGATCACAAATCTAGAAAATGAAATTAAAGTTATTACAAAATGAAATCAAATGTTCCCAAGTGTTAATCAACTCCAAAATCCTCCAGAAAATCGTCTTCTCTCCTTCCAAAATCGACTCCATCTTAAAAAAAATCGGTCCCCCCCCCCCCTTTAAG